TAGTGGCAGGGGGAGGGGGAGGGGGTTGGGGGGCAGGGGGAACACAGGGCTCCTGACTTCCTGTACAGATGACAGCCCCCAGCTCCCCTGCTCTCATAGCAACCGAGTTCCCTGATGGCTTGGTGCTTTGGTCCTCTTGCCTGCCCTTGGGATGGAAGATGCTGGAACCCTCCCCTTTGTACGCTGGGGGAAAAAAAGGCCCAGGGAAACAAGCAATGGCAGGGCAGAGAACTGTGCTAATTCCTCATTCCTGGCTGGCCAGTGGGCCTGGCCAGGTGCCCAAGGTCTGTCCACAGAAGGCTCAGCCTGCCCCTCCGATGTGTCTCACACTGGCTGTTGGGGAAATGCAGACTCCTCTGCCTGGCATTCCAGGCCCTTAATTAACTGACTGCAACCAGTCCCTGCACACACGTTCTACTGAAGCCAAACTAGCGTCCTGAGTGCCACCTCCCAGCCTTTGCCCACACTGTAGCTGGCCACGCCACCAGGAATACCTTCCCTCCCCTCACTGTGCAACTCCAAATTCTATCAATAACCACATTACCATTTATTGAACACCTACTGTGTGCCAGGCACCGACTCCTCAAGGGGGAAAATCACCCAATTCAGTGCCACCTGCCTTGGAAATATGCAGTTGTGGACAAATTCCCATTACTCCCAAATCACTGAAGAAAAGGCTTATTTTTTCTAACAAGAAATATTTGAAGTTTTTAAAAAAGATTTTTCTCCATATTTTTGCAATGTTTCTTTTTCCTACTGTGCATCTCCATGTTTTCCTATTGAGTGCAGCTCTGTGTGTTTTGAAGCTGCCTCTCCCAGCCCTTATGTCTGGTCTCCACAAACCACCTGCCAAGGAGCACACATCCCTGTCCTAGGGACAAGGAAATGAAGCACAGAGAAGGTAAGTGACTTGTCCAAAGTCACACAGCAGAGACCAGATTTGGATTCCTGGTGACTCCCAATCCATGTCTTTTTGGAGCCAGACAAATGCCACAATGAGCTGGACACTGCCCACAGTGTTTGCTACGTTAGTCTTCCTAACCCTTGGACCAAAGCCATCAGGTAGGCACTGTGATCCCCGCTTTGCAGATAAAGAAAGAGGCTCAGAGAGATGGAGTAACTTGCCCCAAGTTGCACAGTTGGTTACTAGCAAAGTCAGAACTCAAACTCACATCTGCTTTCTCCAAAAGGAGGCCCGAGGAAGGGTGGCCTCATGGTGGCAGAGGTACTTACTTAGCAGAGTGGGCAAGTCCCTGTCTCACCTCCTCATCTGGGACATGGCCATGGTAAGGCATACCACACCTGGCTGTGGGAGGGACAGCAGGATGCCATTCCCGGCTCATCTCTGTGTCCCTGCCGCCTGTCATGGTCCCTGGGATACACTACATGCTCATTAAATGCTTAGTGAATATGCAGACGAGGTCTCTACCACTGTGCAGCACACAGCAGGAAGAGCATGTTTTCTTTCCATCTTCCACTAGGGAGGCCTGGTATCCCAGAGGGACCCTGTGTTTTGGGGTGTCTCTCTCTACCAGCACCCCTCTGCTTCTTCTCCTTTCCTCCTCTCTGAGTCACTGCCTGCAATTGCCAGTCTTTAGCCCTAAAAATAGAGCACATTTTGAGAGAGAAAAATACCCACAGATGTAAACTACAACTGCAGGCCCCTGCCCTCGGGTCCCCCTCTTCTTGGGGCTGACCCAAGGAGGTTATCCCAGGAAGCCCCAGGACTGGCAACCCCTGCGTGACTCTAGCGTGGACCGAGGGTCTCCAATCTGCAGGACGTGCTCAGCCAGGAGTCCCCTTGTGCCCCACACTGCCCAGCAGGGCCAGACTTCCTTCCCTTATTGGCATGGGGCTGCCACCTCATGCCTCTCACTTTCCTCACTCTCCAGCCAGGCTGAGCTGCCTCCCAAAGCTGGAGCAGGGCCCAGAGAGGGAAAACGATTCGGCTGGGCCACACAGCCAGCAGGAGGCAGGGCCAGGCTGGCAGGGGCACGGCCAGGGTGCAGGGCCCAGACTGGCAGAGGTTGTGCCGTGCCAGGAGGTGAGCAGAGGAGAACCCAGAGGATTCCCCTCTTTTCACACCAGCTGGCTCCCAGCCTTGCTGGGAGGACAAAGCAGGAACTAGGACTAGGCAAGGCCTCTGGCAGAAGTGGCAAAGGGAAGGGAACCCAGGGTGGCTTGGATTCTGTGCTGGGGCATGTCCTGTCTTGGGAGGGCCTGTGGAACCCACTGTCAGGAGCCAAGGGACAGCTTGGGTAAGAGGCTCCTCTGACAACCTGGCGTGTGCATGTGTGCGTGTGCATGTGTGTGCGTGTGTGCGTGTGCTGGGGTGGTGGTGGCAGGAAAGGGTGTCCATTGAGGGAGAGACACCAGACGGTTTCACAGTAGTCTTAGGGCCAGCCACGCTGGGCTCACATGCAGCAGAAGAGAGAAGATGAGGCGTGGCTGGGGGTGACCAGAGGGGCCCCTGCCCCTCCCCGGGGGCGATGAGGCTTTCACATCCCACACGCAGGAAGCTGATGCAACCCACGCGTGTGTGCGCCCGTGGTGGCCTGGGTATGGGTGAGAGCGTGTGCATGTCTGCCAGGTTCATTGGGAGGGCGTGGGGCTCCCGCGTGTTCCCTCCTGCGTGTGATGCACCATGCGCGCACTGGAGGGCATGATGGCGTGGACGACAGCCGGACCAGGGCCTCCGCGGAGGCTCTTCCTCTTGCCGACGGCCTCCTGCGTGTGCGCATGCGTGGCGCCGTCTGGCCCGTGTATCTCAGCGTCTGTGCTGTCAGGGTCTTGGCCTGGGTGTGTCTGTGTGTTCCTGTGTCTGGGGCTCAGGGCATTTGTAAGTCAAAATGTGTTTGCGTTTGTGTCTGGCTGCGCACGGGTCTCAGATGTTTGCGTAGCACGTGTGGCTGCTCGGCAGCCTCTGACAGCCAGGACAAAGGCCTCCGCAGACGGACAGGTGGTGCGGAAGGCAGACCTGCCCAGGAGTCCTCAAAGGGCCTCTCGGCCCCAAGACTTGACAGCCAGGCAGGGGCGGGGCCGGGTGAGATGGGAGGCAGGTGGAGAGCAGGGGCGCAGGGCTCCCTCACCCCAGGCCAGTGCAGACCCTCTGGGGGGCCTGGGCCTGAGCTGCAGAGACCCCCCCCCAGTCAAAAGGAGCCCCGCTGCACTCCAAGCGCCCAAAGGAAGAATCTTTCTTGTCTTCTAGGGGGCGGAGGGTGGTTAGAGCCAGGACAGGGGCTTCCTGAGACCCCCACTGAGCAAGCACCTTGGGGAGGTCAGAAGCGGAGAGGGCTTTGCCCGAGAAAGGGCGGTGAGCTGGGAAGGCCCCAGGGTAGGGGCACCATTGTGACTGTGGGATGGGGTGGCAAAGCGAGCCTAGGACTCCAGACGGCTCTTCAGCCTGAGCCAGCTTCCCCTCCACCCACCCCAGGCAGCAAAGGGTGGGTCACTGTGGACCACTCGGCCGCACCACTGTGGAGATCTGCCCTGGATCAGGAGTCAGAGAACCGAGATCCCAGCCCTGGCTGAAAGTGACTCAGTTGATTTAGCCTCTCCAAGCCTCAGTTTCCTCATCTGTGCAATGGACACCTCAGCCCCCACCTTGAAACGTTGCTGTGGATGGGGAAAGTGCTCGCACCACCTGAGAATTAGTCATTACCCTGGAATCCTTTCCAAGGCTGTTAAGGCACACTCACCCCTGGCCCACACCCTCCCACTGCCAGGGGGCCTCAGAGCACTGCTGAGATCCTGGAGAGGGGGTGGGGGACCCCAAGGCCAGCTGGGCCTGACCACCACCTCCCCTACTCGGCTGCTGCCCTCAGGCCCCCTGTGCCAGCCCAGATGCCCATTCAGGGGCACCCCCTGCCCCCAGCTTCTTCCTTCAGACACCCTCAGGAAAAGGGACCTGCCTTGTGCAGGGGGCCAGGAGCCTTGGACCGGCTTCCTGTGGGGGGTATTAACACCATGCCACCTCATTTCTCCTTGCCTTGCCCTGCTGCCTCCCACCCGATGGAGCTTCCCTCAGCGCCCCCCTGCCAGCCACAGGGGTCTGCCCCCCCCTTTGACAGGGAGGGGAATGCAGCACAGAGCCCGATGTGTGAGAGGGGGTGTCCCTCCTAATTCCACCCAGGCCTGGGCTATGACCCCAGTGAGGACTCTGAGGTCACAGGCAGGTGGGGTCTGGCTACTCGAGGTGGGGGTGGGTGTCGCTCACCTCCTGAGCCTGTTCGTGCGTCCGTGTGTGTGTGTGTGTGTGTGTGTACACACACACAAGGTTTCCTACCCAAACCCAGGCACCCCGCGGCTGGCTCCAAAGCGCCTGCAGGACACAGGGATGTCCCTGTGAATTCCCACTGAGTCCTCAGATCCTGCTGAGCCAGGGGAGGTGACGAGGGGGTGCCCAACTGCGTGACGCGTGTGCCCTGCTCCGCGGCAGGTCAGGGACAGGGGGCGGGAGGAATGCGCTGTCCCTGGGGATGCAAGGACATGACTGCCCTCCCAGCTCAGGGACGTTGGGCCTGAGCGCCCCCCTTCCCTGCTCTGAGGACCTGAGCGCCCCTCCGCCCCTCCTCTGAGGACCTGAGCGCCTTCCCTTGGGGGGGTGCCAGGGCTTGGGCCCCTCCCCAGGGATAGAGGAAACGCGCCCACTTCCCGCAGTCCCTCCTCTAAACCCGAGGCGCTCCCTCCTTTGGGTGGCCGGAAAACAGGACTCCCCATCCGTCCAGGGGGTGGGACCCGAGCCCCCCAGCTGCTGCCTGGACCAAGCCCGTAGGCGGGGGTCTCAGCCGGCTCCGGCCAGGCGTCCCCCCACCGCTCCGGCCGCTGTCGAGCGCAGGCTACGGGAGCCGGCGGCGCCTCCCCGCGCCCCTGGAGACCCGGCACCCGCCCGCTCGCCCCCACCCTCCCGCCCGCGCGGTCTTGGCAGCCGGCCGACGGGGGCCGGACACCTCGGTCCCCTCCCCTTTCCCAGGGCCGCAGCCCCGGCGGGGCGCACTCACCCGCGGGCCTGGGCTGGGGGCGTCCTGGGCTCGGCACTCCGGTGCCCGCGGCAGCCGCTGCAGCTCTGCTCGGACGCGGTCGCCGCCGCCGCCGCAGTTCGGGGAGGGGGACGTCACGTGACCGCGGAGCGCTCCTTGCCGGCGCCGCTCCCCCCTCACTGCGGAGCCCGAGCCGCGGGCGCGGGAGTAGCCGGGTCCCCGCCCCGCCGCCCCGCCGCGCGCCCGCCGCCCCTCACCACAGGTCCCAGAGGCGGGCTTTCTGTGTCCCCATTTTACGGGTGGGGAAACTGAGGACCAGAGAGGGACAGGACCCGGCTCAGGATTACACAGCTCGACAGCGGCAAGGCCTGGGCGAGAGCCCAGCGGTCCATCCAAAAGCCCATGCCCCAGGGGGACGGGGATAACTTCTGGGGCAAGAGGGGATGACGGGAGAGGTGGGTGACACGCCCTAAGCCCCCATGGGCTCCGCTTGTCTGCACGGGCGGGGAGGAGGAGAAAGGCACACAGGCTTCGCTGGGCGAGGAGGCTGCACGTCCTTTGCGCAGGGGCTCTGGGTGCGCGTCTTCACCGAGGCCACTCGGTGACCCTCGCCAGCAGGTCAGCGGCTCTCGGACATTCTCTCTGGACTGGGCAGCTCACTCCCACCCCAGCCTAACCCCGAGCAGGGTGGGGAGGGGGCAGCCGCTCTGGAGGGAAGGCTGGGAGGAGGGTGGGGTCAGGACAAGAGCAGGAAGGGGACCCAGAGATCACCTTAGCCTGACTTCTGAGTCCCAGGTAGGGGAAGAGACTTGCCCAAGATCACACAGCCAGTGAGCAGCAGGTGGACAATGGGGCCTGCACCAGACTCCCCTCTTTGATGGTCAACAGCGCCCCAGGCTGTGCCCCACTGCCGACCCAGGGGAAACCTCACACACCTCTGCTCTCCACCGAGGACCCTCCCAAGGGACAACCCTAGAGGAAGCAAAGAGAGCAGCAGTGTGACTACAAGGCCAGAAGTGTGGGGGACGATGGGTTAGGGCATGGCTGGTGGCCCCAACATCATGACCAAGTCACAGAACATTAATGTTAGAGGTGATTTTGGGGATCTCTGGATGCCCCGTTTTCTAATAACTGGGGAAGCTGGGCCACAAAAGGGGCAGAGACAAACCTCCAGCTCATCAACCACTTAGAATTAGCAGTCAAGCTGACAGGCCCAGCTCACAGACACCCCTCAGGGAGGGGGAAGTACTCAGGACGCTATACAATGTGTTTACTGAGCACCTGCTGAGTGCTTACCATGGACTGCCAGTGCCACCTCCCACTCTATATTCCGGGCCACAGGGACTGCATTTCACAAAGGAGGACATCTTCAGCAACCCTTACATCAGCCTCTGGGGGATCTGACACACGTAGGCTGAGTTTTTGATCCCACAGGGGCTGCGGCCCAGAGCCATGCTTCTTGGCCAAGACTCACCCTAATGGGGAAGAGTGCGGAGGAAAAGCAGGAAGCGCCTAGCCCTCATCCCGCCCCCACGGCATGTGCAAAGGCAGAGGGGAAGTGGGAATGGCTCTTCCCAGCCTGTGTGGAGTTCTCCCTCTAGCAAGCTCTCCCAGCTGTGAGTGCGAAAGAAGCCCCAGCTCAGCGTTTCTCAGACTTGCAAGAGCACAGGAGCGGCCTGTGGATGCAGGCTCCGACTCAGAGTTTGCAATGCAGTGTCACGGTATTGCTGGCGCTATGGGGCCACACACATTTTGAGCAGTGCTGGTAGAACAAGGTAAATTGTCAGAGCAGGAGGAAGATGACCACCGAGGCTCTGAGGACAGACTCTGGAGTATCACCTGCTGCCCCAGGGCCCACGCCAACCCTGGGGCACTTCGATTTCGGGTCTAGTAATGCGACAGGATTGCACGGTTTGTTGAAAGCTGTAATAAGGAGGGAGGAAGGTGAATGAGGTTGGCCATCTGCCGATGGTGCGGAAGGGACTGTGTGGGGTTCTGTAGGGCACTGAGAGACGCTTGGTGAAATAATTCTTGTAGGAGAAATGCTGACTGAATAGACCTTCAAGGGCAGCATGCACTGGGCTGGCCTGGCTACAGCAGGGTGGGCCTCACCGATCTCAGAATTGCACAAATTTCAGGATTCTCTTAAGCACCATGTCTCTACCCATCCTTTGGCTTTTTTTGTATGATTAGGCCAGACTGGTCCTTAAATTTGATTTTGACCAGAGTCCCAGTGCTTCTTTCTGCTTCTTAACTCCTAACCCCTTCCCCTCCATGCCGAGACAGAGATCATTTGCTCCCCAACTCTGGCCAGAAAGGCACTGCTGATGGTACACGTGGGACTGCGGGGTGGAGACAAAGGTGCTCCACCTGGGCCGGGGAGGGGGGAAGGGCAGGGGCAGATGGTGGCAGAGGTGATAGTGATGCGGAAATGCAGTGAGCCAAGTACAGCCACAGCCGGGCAACATCTTTCATGGTCCCTTAACCTTTTGAGGTCTGGACCTGCAGACTCTGAGATCCCCAAAGGCTTAAGAGCCTATTAGCATGGGTGGGGGACTGAATGTGCCCACCCCTGGCTGTGTAGACCAAAGAACGAAGGCTCCACTGTGCCAGGCGTCTCCATTCTTCTTTATAATCAAGGAGCTTTTCAATTACAGCATTTTCTTCTTTACAGAAAACCTCCCTCGAGGCAAGAGGCTTATAATCTCGTGTATGTCCTGGGGGGCACCATTCTGAGACTGTCAGGGCCCCTGGCGAGGAGGCAACACGTGCGGTGGGGGGCTGGGCACGGAGCCTGGCGACTGAGGGGAAGATTGGACAAAAGCCCTGGAGCTTTGCTTTCCCTGCCCTACTTCAATCCAAACCACTCAGAACTGACCACTCACGCATGGCTGCCTCGGGCTCAAGCCTTTTCTTTCTCAAACACTTAGTATATAACAACCCAGCCACCACCCCTGCCCTCCCGATCCCTGAAAAATGAAAGCTGGCTTCAAAAAACCTGGCATCTCAGAAGGCTGGAGAATGAAAACGTGGGTGGTACCACAGTAAACTCTGAATAATGCACAAGACTGTAAGGGGGGAGGAGACCTATATGGGAATAACTCCTAACCCTGCCCACCCCTCCCCAGCCAGATCAAACGGGACACATACAGGGATGGAGGCTGCCCACCAGAACATTCAGGGGGACAAAAAAGTGGTGAGTCGTCAAGGTGTGCCGTTCAGAGAGCACTGGATGAGGTCTAGGAGGGGCTGGCAGAGAAGAGGGTGGACTGCAGGAGTGGCTTGGAGCAGAGCAAGACAGGATGAGGAGTGGGAGTGAGCACCATGGCACCTGTCAGGGGGGACCAAGCTGCCGCAGTAGACATGGCAGAGAGGATGCGACCCTGGGGGACCCACTCTCAGGTTGCAGAGGGCTTTGGATCACGATTGTAAACACAGGAGGGCCTTGTTTTGAGGACAAATTGGAAAAGCCTAAAGGTGAGGACAGCCCTGGTCAAAACAAAGTAACAAAAAGAGCCTCTCCCAGGGGCCTTTGCTGCCACAGGAGAACTGCTAAGGGGTCCTGAGTGTTCATTCATTTCTCCTTACTGAGAACTGGCGCACTGTGGGGATACAGCGGTGAATATGATGGACAGAGCTAGAACAGTCTAGCACTAATTAGGCTGATTCATTTTGGAGAATGGAGTGGTTTTAGGTACAGGCAAAAAATCCAGCACAAAAAACAAACAGTACACACTAGTTTCAGAATTCTAGACAGTCTAGCACGACTTGGAGCCTCTTTCATCCAGAGAACCAGACATGCTGTAGATAGGCGAGAAGATGCTACAGACATAAAGCAATCAAAGAAGCAACACGCAGACTGATAAAACCAGAGAGGTCCGTAGAGGCGGTCCTCTTTGGTGATTTTCCAAATGCACTCCCTGGAGCTTCCTCAAGGGAGTGGGTGGGTGTGGGAGGAGGCCCCGCTGTCTGCCAGACAACTTACTGCGCATCTCACTTCCTTTTAGAGAGAAAGAACACTGAGGCTCAAAGGGGAACAGACTTGTCCAGGATCATAAGAGGAACTAACTGGCTGCAGTTTATGGTTTCCTCAGTTACAGACAGTAACGGGGAAAGGAAAACCCAGACAAAATTGTGCAGAGGCCAGTGTGCCAGCTGGCAATGACTTACCCCAGGCATGGCTACCGAGGCCTTCTAGCTTCCCTGAGTGTGTCCCCTACTTCCTGTGGCCCGGGCCTGCCCTGCCTGGCAGCACTAGCACAGACTGGAATTCCAGCAGCAGTTCCAGCTGCTGTTACATGGCTGGCTCCCTCCACGACCGAGAGCAATTTCACTTCAAAGGGCCTTCAAGTCCTTGAAAGCGAAGATTTGTTTTTTTTCTTTTTTAAGCATGTTGGGGGGAACAGATGATATCCTCTATTTGAGATCAATACAGTAATTATGTTGGACAAGCTCTCAGGGCTAAATTCGGGGGGTATTCAGACAGCCTGGTGAAGGAGTGTGAAAACACTGTTAGAAGGGCCAGCATGCCATGTGGGCTTGTGGGATGGACCCAGTCGGCACTAGGATGCACTTCTGCAGGAACCTCGGTCTTGACTCCAAAGGCTCGGTCCAGTAATGAGCTGGCGCAGGTCTCAATTCTAAAACCAGACCAAAGTCACCTTGAAGAAGGCACATAACTCCTGGTACGTCACAATGAGTTCTGCAACCTCCTCTTCCCTAAATTCTAGCGAGGCTCAAAAGATTTTAAACTTTATCATAGGAAGAAATCAGACAAGGTCAGGAGTATAGTGTATTAGCTGGATAAGAACTGGTATTGTGGTGTATTTGTTGAGGGAGGGCAGACACAAGAAATACCTGTTTCGTGTACTCCTGAGTGATATTATTCACTGAGTATCAACAGGTAAATAAATAATGAAAACTCGATTCTCAGGCAGGAAGTAACCTCTAAGTGCCAGCCAGTCTCCTGCATTGCTGCCTGATGCTGGTGCCCACGCTCTGAGGCTAGGAGGCATCTGTTCCTGATGTTCTTGGCAATGACAATCAAAACAACTGAAGATACCTCTTAGGGGCAGGAGCTGTCCATCAAAAAGACATAAATCTTCAACATGAATTCTAAGCGTGTTTTGAATGCCTTTCAATGTCACCCCGCAAATAAACACAGAATCAAGAAGGCTGACTGTTCAGCCGTTGGCTTCATGATCCTTGTAGGCCAAGAGGAAAGATTTATGCGACAGGATGTTCATACACTTGCCCAGCCATCATCTTAGCTCGAAGGGCTTCCAGCAAAAGGTATATTCTGAAGTTCTTAGAGGAGGGGCTCCAGGTAGCTATGTGGTTACAAGACCTCTTTTTGAAGACTTGCAAAAAAGATTTTGTACCATTACCTCAGAAAGGCTACAGTTTAATTACAAATAAATAGTATAAAGCCTTTTGCCTCAACAATATTTATTACTGTTTAATCCTCTATGTGTGGCAGAGTAGACAAGACAGCAAATGCTGCTGTTTGTAGAGATGAGGAAACTAAGGCAAAGCAAGATTTAGTAACTTTTTTTAGTTACAAAGAACATGATGAAGTTATCTGGAACACAGGATCCAACTTCTAACACTCCACACTGTCAACACTTGCCCACACGTGTATGTGCTACCTGAACAGCTAGCAGATTCCTTAGTGCAATTAACAGCCAGGATGAAAAACACCATCAAGGCTTGGCATATGTGGGATGGAGAGGTGGATTTTTGGTTTTCCAACTAGACTGTCTCCCTGACACAGAACTGTTGCTCAGGGGAATCAACAAAGTGGTACCTACCATTTTACAAATGTTTATGATTCACATCTTAACAAACAAAGGGTTCCAATAATGGTGATAATCAAATCCCTAGGCAATATTTCTGCCCGTACAATGTCTGTCCAGGTGTGGGGGTGGGGATGCCAGCCTTCGGAATTAGAAATGCATCTGTTGGCAAAACCCTGGGGGTGGGGGGAGGCACTGGCACAAGGTGGGCGTCTTACGCTGGAAATGCTGGCTGGCTCTTCCTCTGCCTGCACGCTGTCTCAGTCCCCTGTAACCTTGAATCAAGCTGAGTGCTAAACTGCCTGAGAGAAAGAATATGAGCCTTGTCCACCGTTCTGTAACAGGAAAGACAGGCTTTCCTGTTCATTTCACTTCAGCGGTTTGTTTAGACAGAGATATAAATCATCCTTGGGTATTTAAAACAGGTTATTCAATCGGAACATTAGCTTCCAATATTAACCAGGGTCTGAGCAACATATCCATGACCACACACTCCAACCAACTGGACATTTAAAATAACAACAAAAACAAATTCACTCTGGATTTTGATTCCACAGTAATAAAGGGATACTCATGTCTTTTTAATTTGGCAGGAAGGTAACAGTATTCTAAACAATAAAGTTTGTAAATACAGAGAAAGATACTTATTCCCCCAGGGAATAGACATCTAAATGGCAACCTATATTTCAGGTAATGGCAACAATTTGTACCAGCCAAGTATGTTGTACACATTAATTTGAGATTAAAGAATGGAAGCTTCTTGATACCTCATGAGATACTGATCTAATATAAAAATGTACACATGCATGGCATTAGAACCCCAAAAGAAAGAGTCTCTGCAATTTAATGTGGTCACAGCCCAGAGGACAAATGGACCCATCTATTGTAAATACAGACAAAGCAAGAATTGGGCTTTAGGTTCTACCTTGTGCCTGTTTTCCCTGTACAAAGTGATACAGGTGGTAAAAAGCCATTCAATACATGTATACATTTCTTTGTAATGACCCCAGCCCAGCATTTTTCAAGCTTTTATGAGCTCAGGAGTGGCCTGGGGGTGCAGATTCCGATTGAGGGCCTCTGGGGCCTGAGCTCTTGCATTTCAAAGTGTTGCAGTATGGCTGGTGCTGTGGGGCCGCAGACATTCTAAGCAAAACTGGTGGAACAGGCAGGTTGTCAGCACAGGAGGAAGAAGGCAGGCTCTGAGACTCCCGGAGCATCACCTGCTCAACAGGGGCCTACGCCACCCCTGGGCAGTTGATAAAGGAGCCAGTCCTAGGAGTGGGGTTTCAGCCTGAAAGGCTGTTCTTTTATACCATTGCATAAGGAAAAAATACCCAAATAACAAAATTTAAAATTGTTATCAACAGCAACTTGAGAAAAATGTATCAGATTCCTAGAGGCTACAGGTTTATGTTGGTGCCTAGAGAGAACCTCCTCTGGCAAGCAAGCTTCTTCATAAGGAAAAGGAAGCTGATTCACCAAGCGCAATGTGAACTTTTACACAAGTCTTCACCTTGGCAATGAATAAGTTGCTTTGCGCTATTACTTTTAAGCTGCAGCTTTCATTTCTTTGGAGCTAAATAAAAGACTAAAATCTGAAAATCAGGATTAGTTATCCATCAGCTCAACTTCAAGTCCTTCCCCTGTGCCCACCTCAAAGCCAGAACTGCAGGCCCCTTAGCTGCTGCTCCTAGGATGTTTTGGAGGTGCAGTATGCAGCTCCCCACTTCCCCCATGGGCTGGTTACAGACCCCCTGGCCACTCAGGGGGCAGACTGAATACATTACGAAAGGGAAGGGGAAACACAAACAAGAATTTTACCAAATAGTCATAATTATTCAGATAAAAAGAGCTATTCAACAAGGTTGCTGCTAAGGTTACTGGTCCTCAAATCCAAATCTGCCTCCTCCATCCATTATTTTAATTCACATTTTCATGAAAGGAGAAAAAAAAAATGCCTAGCACAAACCTAAGGCCAAAAAAAGTGTTAATAAGAGAGATGCCTAAGTCAGCATCTAGGCCACAAACATATACATACACACGCAACAGAGAAAACATAAGTTTTTTAAAAAAGAAACAAACTCTAGTCTTAAATTTCATTTAAACATCCTTCAATATTCTTAAGAATATTGCTTCAGTTTTTTGTTGCTAATAACTATAATCCTGAGTTGGATAAAAGAGCATGCCCCATCCACATACTGTCTTTTTTAAACAAAGTGATCTAACAGATCCCCTCAGGGCATTTTGGGAGAATGCTTTCAAACAGAGAAGCAAGATGTGACAGCAGATGAGGAGGATGGGAAAAACAAATTTTACAAAAATCTTGTGTTATCCAAATGTACTTCAATCCAATTTACTCTTCTGATAAGATGGTCTGATTTTTCAAAGGAGCAACATATATTTCCCACTTTTGAATAATAGCAAAACGCTTATCACACGTAATAAACATTCTCCATCTTTTCTGAAATGCACCAAAGCAAAAAGCCTTTGAAGCCAAAAATGAGACAAGATCCCTTGCTTATCTCAGGAGACACACCGGTGCCCCTCCTGTACCTGACACTGCGACAGGCCGCAGGGTGGCAGTGTGCAAGGCAGGGGCCGCTCCAGCTGACACCGGTGAGTCTAATTCTGAAGACACTTTTCCACACTCACGGTAAGTTCTTCACTTTCATGCTTTATTGAAAGTAGAATATGAATCAAAGACAAGTATTGGTAAGCAGGTTATGTCTCTAAAGAATTATTTTTCATTCAGAGCAGAATGTTGTCCCATCTACTGTGATACAAATCCTTTATGGACCAATGCATCCGGTATGAAACTCGAGCAAGGAAATATAACAGGACTTTATTCCCGCCCATGACTATAAATCTCGCGTGTAAACATGATTTACTGTTACTGCTACTAAACTTCTTCAATCTTTACTTGCCCTCTCCCTCCCTCCACCCCCCTTAAATATAAAATTGGAAACATTTCCTTCAAGTCTGATGTCCTCAGTGCAATCTGCTTTATTTGACATAAGGCATTTGGGACAGTCACTTTTGAATGGATTTTTGCCTTTTGGAAGAGTCACATAATGGTTTAATTCTTAAATCCACCTTTTCTTTAATGCCCTAACATGTCAAAGTCCTCTTCCCCTCTGGTCATTCCTCAGCAGTCCACAAGTATTCACAGATTAATGTCCAAGGAGACCAGTACCTGAGAAAAGAAACACACGTGGAGGGACAGTGGTGAAATAACATCAAGAGCTCATGTACTCCATTTGCCAAGAACACGTCAGCAGCAGGGAATGTCCAATTTAATAAACGAACACAGCAGCCCCTTGGCAGTGAAGGATAAGATAAAATATCAGCAGACTTCACGCTTTCAGCTAAATCACATTTCTGTTGAAAGCCATGGGTTTCCCATGCGTATTAATCACAAATTAATCAGATCTCATTGAAGCTTTCATATGATGGCCATTTTTTGTAAAGAAAATGGGTTTTCTTGTTGCTGTTTTTTTTTTTTGGACCACATCAGGAGTTCCTTTGTAGTGGTAACATGGAGACAATAAAAATATATTTAGAGAAGGCTTTATTTAGGCCAGTAGCTTTGCCACTCACTTGCTTCAGCAAAGAATACTGGTTATGTGATTCAAACTCATTCATTGGCAAAATCTCAATCTGCCACAGACCTCTGGAGTGGCCTGTGCAGAATCAACATGGCACCAGCTAAATCTGTAAATGTCAAAGGTCTGTATTTGTTGGATTAACGAATATTATTGGTGTGCACAGCTCTAGTGGCCCAGATATAGTACAAGGCACCGCTTTATTATTTATTATTTGTTGAAATAATAATTCAACAAATGTCTTAATTCTAAATAGATTAATTAAATCTTCTCACTGGACCTGATATAATTTGTCAAATCCTTGTACCACTGATTCTTATCAATTACACACGAACTGTTTTGAGCTGAGAGGGGACTGATAGGAGGAACTGGGGAAAGGTTAAATATAAATCTTGAAATGCCATTAGCTAATTTCCCAACCTTTCAGGAAATGAGAAAGAGAAAGCTGAAGGGACATCTGGCAAAACAGAGTTCTAACACGCAGGCCCTAACTGAGGCCGAGTGTTGAAAGACATAATGAAGAAGCTTGAATTAAAAATGCATTTAACTAAAATTAATTTTAGTCATGAGACTCAGATTGAATTAAATTTTAAAATCAAATTATACCCTTCACTTTAATAGAAAATTACAGGATGACTCTGACATTCATGAACAAAACATGATAAATGTAACTTACCTTTAAACCCTTCTTCTGGCATACAAACTGGAAAAAGAAAAAAAAAAAAAGAAGAATTCCAAGTTGAAAAGATTGTCGTGACAGACAGTCATAAAATCACTTCAATGCCTAAAGACAAGCAGTTTAAATTTAACCTTTAATTACCTTAGTCATCTGTAATGATTACTTTGGAAGTTACAGATCTTATTAATCTAAGGAAAATCTTTCTCTTTATTTTTATTTTGGGTTTTTAATTTTTCTTAGAGACAGGGCCTTGCTCTGTCACCCAGGCTGGGGTACAGTGGAGGAATTATAGCTCACTGAAATCTCGAACTCCTAGGCTCACATAATCCTCCCATTTCAGACTCCTGAGTACCTGGGACTAAAGGTGTGCACAACCACACCCAGATTATTCTTTTATGTTTTGTTGGTGGAGATGGGATCTTACTAGCTATGCTCAGGCTAGCCTTGAACTCCTGGCCTCAAGTAGTCCTACTGCCTAGGCCTCTCAAAGTGCTGGGACTACAAGGTGTGTGCCACCATGCCCAGCTAATTTTTTGTATTATTTTTTTGTAGAGAAGACATCTTGTAATGTTGCCCAGGCTGGTCTCAAACTCCTGGCCTCAAGCAATCCTCCTGCCTCCCAAAGTACTGGGATTATAGGTGTGAGCCTCTGAGGCTGGCCTCATGTGTAAATTATTAAAGACCTGCACACCTCTGCAAGACAGTTGTCATCACGTCCGCTTTTCCTTGCGGGTATCCTTTCCTGAATTCTGCATCTCACCAAACCAATCTGGACTGGGTGTCCATGCTGCCTGCTGCAGAGAGTTTGTTCTGGAATTTTCCTTCACCATTTTGTAAAGCATCTTTATACTACACTGGATCTCCTGTTTATGAGCTACACTGCTGACTTCTTGATTCACTCTTTTGTTTAAGAGAAGCACATCCTCACACAGTATCTGGGCAGATGGCACTGCCAGTGACATCAGGCAGATCAATTTTTTGAAGCCTTAACATGTGTTTAAAGAGCCCTCAGGTGTGAGGGTAGAATAAAGTCTAGTTACAAGGGCCGGGCGTGGTGGCTCAGCCTGTAATCCTAGCACTCTGGGAGGCCGAGGCAGGCGGATTGTTTGAGCTCAGGAGTTTGAGACCAGCCTGAGCAAGAGCGAGATCATGTCTTTACTAAAAATAGAAAGAAATTATCTAGACAACTAAATATATATATATAAAATTAGCCGGGCATGGTGGCTCACGCCTGTAGTCCCAGCTACTCGGGAGGCTGAGGCAGGATTGCTTGAACCCAGGAGTTTGAGGCTGCTGTGAGCTAGGCTGACACCAGAGCACTCTGGCCCGGGCAACACAACGAGACTCTGTCTCAAAAAAAAAAAAAAAGAAAAAAAAATCTAGTTACAGAGTTCTAGACTGAAGCTCACTGTCCCTCAGAGTTGTATGGCCACTGCTGCATTTTCCCATCTTGCTCACTCCTCATCATCCCATGAATGGGACTGGTTTTCCCTCCACACCTCTAGGTGCCTTAGGATCCTCCTGTCCCTACTTTCATACTTACTGTGTCAGACCCTTGGCGCAATCATTTTTTATTTTCACGAATTCCTTTCTATTCTCTAAATGTCTCTGTTATATAGGCCCTCGCTATAGTTTGCTCTTCCCCCTTATGTTATTCACAGGTAATTTTTAAGCTTTCTTATGCCCAGCCAACTGGATTTCATTTTTAATGCCTGAATAATATTCCACTGTGGATATATAACACATTTTCTTTATCGATTCATCTACTGACTTAGCTTGATTCTGTATCTTAGTTATTATGAATTATGAATAGTGCTGCAATAAACATGGGGGTGCAGGTACCCCTTTGATGTACTGATTCCCTTTCCTTTGGATAAAGAGCCAGTAGCGTGACTGCTGGATTGCATGATGATTTTTTTTTTTTTTTTTTTTTTTGAGACAGAGTCTCACTCTGTTGCCCAGGCTAGAGTGCCATGGCATGAGTCTAGCTCACAGCAACCTCAAACTCCTGGGCTCAGTGATCCTTCTGCTTCAGCCTCCTGAGTAGCTACAACTACAGGCATGCGCCACCATGCCTGGCTAATTTTTCCTATATATTTTTAGTTAGTCAATTAATTTATTTCTAATTTTAGTAGAGTCGGGGTCTTGTTCTTGCTCAGGCTGGTTTTGAACTTATGACCTTGAGCGATCCGCCTGCCTCAGCCTCCGAGAGTGCTAAGATTACAGGCTTGAGCCACCATGCCCAGCCCCCTCTTTCCTTTTAGTAGTTTAATGGTTTCAGGTCTTACATTTAAGTCTTTAATCCACTTTGAGTTGATTTTTATATACAGTGAGAGATGGGGATCTAGTTTCATTTCCCAACAACATTTATTGAAGAGACTGTCCTTTCCTCAACTTATGTTCTTGGCACCTTTGTCAAAAATCAGTTGGCTGTAGATATGTAGGTTAATTTCTGGGTTCTTTATTCTGTCCCAGTGGTCTATGTGTCTGTTTTTATACCAGCATCATGCTGTTTTGTAGTTGACTTTTGATGCCTCCAGCTTTGTTTATTTTGCTCAGGATTAAGTTGGCTATTTGAGGTCTCCTGTGGTTACATGGAAGTTTTGGGATTGTTTTATCTATTCCTGTGAAGATTGTCATTGGTATTTTAATAGAGATGGGATTAAATCTGTAGATTGCTTTGGATAGTATGGTCATCTTAACAATATAAATCCTTCCAATCCATAAGCATGGGATATCTTCCCGTTTGTTTGTGAACTCTTCAATTTCTTTCAACAGTATTATATAGTTTTCCTTGTAGAAGTCATTCAGCTCCTTGTTTACATTTATGCCTAGGTGTTTTCATATAGTTATTATAAACGGGATTGCTTTCTTGAATTTTTTTAGCTAGCTTTTTATTGGTGTATAAAAATGCTATTGATTTTTATAACCTGCAACTTTACTGAATTTGTCCAAAACAGCATGTTAAGGTAGAATCTTACATTATTTGTCTTAAAACATCACAGAAAGAGGAAAAAGTATCTACAAACACTTGGAAAATGGAAAGCAGAGAGTATCGTAATTATGTAGCTAACCTGAGGAAAGTGTTAACCTGCTGATGGAGGAGTCAACGAGAAGCGAAGCTAAATCAAATCACAGCACCCCAGGCAGGCACACAGGAATTGGAGGCCCAGGTACCTCCAAAGGTGGGAGTGAGGTGTGAGCCTAAAATCAGGACACTTGTTTGCTAAACTGTTTAGGAAGCAGTTAAGCTCTCTACCCTTCACATCCATCCACGTTACTACTGCCCCTTCCCCACCTGGACCTCAGATGGGCAACCAGTTACATGTTTCAGCACTTTGAAGGAATTACACTAGGAAGGTGGGAATGAAGCCTCTTCCATGCCAAACAGGAAACAATCCCCAGCCCTCTGCTCAAATACTGGCAGTATCGCATACCTCCCACACAGAGGGGACAGGCATTCCTCTCCAGGGAACCTGGTCCAAGTCAAGAAAATAACCAACAGGTATGAAAAAGCTAGTTCTTCATGATGAAGTGGGATTTATCTCAGGGATGCAAGGATGGTTCAACATTTGCAAATCAATAAACGTGATACATCACATAATAGAGTGAAGCTTCTTTCAAGGCAAAAGTGGAAAACATTGTACAATGGAGCTTCAGTATCTAAAATCCCACCTTGTTCTGAGAGCTAATTAATAGATTTCAAAAACAAATTCATCTTTACCTTGCATGACATCATCCATTGCAGCATAATCTGCAATTGGTTCATCGGCCTAGAAAACAAATGAAGACAATTCAAAAGACAATTCCCCATGAGGGTGAGTCTGAAGTCGGACCCATGATTCAAATACTGACATTGCTACAAGACACAAACACAAACACCCTTCAGTAGAAAACTCAGTCAAGCCACAGCGAGTGATGTCCAGGTTTAACAATGGAGATGCTGCCAACTGTGGTTCTATACGCATTACCTTAAGAATGGCCTACAGTATGTGTTGGGAGCACTGTTTTCCCACTCTTAAACACACTTTTACTTATTTATGTTTTAGAGGTGAGGTCTTGCTCTGTTACCTAGGCTGGAGTGCAGTGGCTAGATCATAGCTCACTGTAGCCTAGAATTCCTGGGCTCACATGATCCTCCCTTCTTAGCCTCCCCAGTAGCTGGGACTACAGGTGTACACCACCAGACCTGGTTAACTTTAAAAAAAAAAATTTGTAGAGATGGGGGTCTCACTATGTTGACCAGGCTGGTCTGGAACTCCTGGACTCAAGTGATCCTCCCACCTTGACCCCCCAAAGTGTTGGGATTACAAGCATGGCCTACCAAGCCTGGCCAAATACACCTTTATATGGAAATGTTTAGATAGCCCTGAGGTTACTAAAAACTCATTTAATTGATGTGGGTTAAGACACTAGTGGTTGCAGTGAGAGGTAGGTAGAAATAAAAAGTTAGATTGAACTAGGTGCACAGGCACACACCTGTGATCCTAGTACTTTCAGAGGCTGAGGAAAGAGGATCACTTGAGGCCAGGAGTTTGAGAACAGCCTGGGAAACATTATAAAGACAAAACATAAAAAAAAATAGGCTGGACACAGTGACACGTGCTTATAGTCCCAGCTATCCAGGAGGCTGAGGCAGGAGGATCACTTAAGCCCACAGGAGCTATGATTACACCACTGTACTCCAGTCTGTGAGACCGTCTCAAAACAAAACAAAACAAAAACAAAAATAAAAAACCTGGAAAATTATTCCACCATATTATGCAGTGGTGTTTGGCACAGTGGGGATTCCTCTGGCCACCAAGAAACACAAGAGCCAAAGGGAAGTGACTAAATTACTTAGGGAGAGCAGGATTGGACTAACAAGGCTGATTCCATGACTTTTTCTTTGGTAATTATCTTAGAAGCCTCTTCTTTTTTAAAACATCTTTCACATCTACTAAATCCAAAGCCAATTTCCATGCCCTAGACAAAAATCCCATTAAACCACCTGAGTATTTACACTCCTGTAACAAAGCCTGGTGTTTTATGCTTGCTTAGAGCTCAGTTGGCTAGTACTTTTCAACCAAGGGGAAAGCTGGGATGCTCTAATAGCAGACATAGGGTTAAGTGACCCTGCTGACCGGAAGTCAGGGAAAAGGTTAGGGAGGAGGCTGAATCTAGATCTATTATATTTAACAAAAATTATGAAAATCTCAGTGAAGACAGCAGGTTTTTATAATTTTTATTAAAAATAATAGATCTTTCAAAGCACTTACTCTGAAATAAAAAAATAAAAATAAATAAAAATAATAGATCTAGATTTTAATGTGTCATGGAAGTTAGAGTTACTATTCATGCTGATCAGTTATCTACCCTTTATCTTTAGTCTTTTTTTGGTGGTAGAAGGCAGCATGTCAAATTAAGTTGCAGACATCAGTATCATTAGTGTGGCTTTAAGAACAAAATCTCCATCTA